GCACACACAGGAGAATTTTGCAATGACTCAATCCACTGTCTGCGTAACCAGCCTGCCTCGACCTGTCAGATCATACTCAAATAATCACTCAGCACACACACGCGGGAATAGTCCTGTGATCCCAGCCACATGAAAGTTTGTGTCCCCGCCATCACCTCCATCGTCATGCTGCTGGTAGTCATGGAGAAGGCACCGCTGGCTTCTTAAACTGTTCTGCATGAAGAGCGAGTTGTAAATGCCCGTGCACTCTTATGTCCTCGTATAACAGACCCGTCTGTGAAGATAAGCACATCTGTCTCATCTGACTTGTCACTAATAAGCGCGCATACCTCGGCATTGAGAGCAGCTGGATTCTGCTCCCGACAACTCCTATCGAGCGTCACGACACAGGAGAATGTGAGATTAGGCGTTTTAGACGCTGGTATCCATTCCTCACCTGGATGCATATCTGTAAGGCTGCAGACCTGCATGATGTCCTCCTCTGCCCTACCCAGTCACGATTTACCCCCTTTAAGTCTACTGCCCCTTTTATTTGAAGAACATGTGGTGTAAAGGGTGCTTCAGATCAGAGCTTATCTTGAGCTATACACGAGCCCTCTAGATCTTGATCCTGTAGTTCATGGTAGGGGAGTCAAGAAGGTACCTCATTACTTCGCAAGAGGTGTCTCCTGTGTACCCTATACTGCGCATTGCTTCGTTCACAAGAACTTGTGTCGGTATGAATCAGATAATGAATACAAGAAAAAGAGAAAACTCGAGAACAATGTAACTAGAAAGTCTTTGCACTGGAACCCACAGGGGCATAGAAATAAGGGCAGTTTAAAAAAACGGAGAAGGGAGCTGGAAAGTGAGGTTAAAAGGTTGGGAAGGACACAGGGTGAGCTGCATGCTAAAGATTAAACGACTTGCCGTGATTTGGTTGAGGGATTGTGCTACATTGGGGGAATAGAAGGCAGAAGAGAAAGAAGACTTGATTGTGTCCAGAAAGATTAACAGTAGAAATGAAGCACTAGAAAAAGTAGCTATAAGGGGAGTCGTCATCATCATCAGGTGCCTTGCCGACTGGCGTGGGCGATCATGCCTCTCCATAATATGCGATCTCCTGCAGCATGTATCAGTTCGTGTGCCGACACACCTCCATGCCATGCAACAAGTCTGTCAAGCATCTTCTCTCGTTGTCTTCCTCTATCCCTCCTCCTACAGATCTTTCCAGTGGTCACAACATGTTATGTTTTCCCTCTTCTCATAATATGGCCGAAAAATGATGACTGTCTCCTTCTGATGTCTGTGATAAGTTGTCTTCGGGCTCCCGCCCCTTTCAAAACCTAGTGGTTGCTTTTTTTGGCTGTCCAAGGTATTCTAAGCATTCTTCTGTAAAACCACATTTCTGAGGCCTCTAGAAATTGTTTGGCCTGCCTACCGAAAGGGGAGTAGATGCTGGGGGGAAAAAAGCAGCGCAGTTATCACTTTATCATCGTCATGTTAGTTGTCATCGCGTTGTTAGGTGACGTAATCATCCATGTCTTTCTGCTAATTTGTTTTAATTGAAAAGGCGCCATAAGCCAGCAACTCTGAGAAACACTGGATTATATTAGGGACGGAAACAGATAAAAAAAAAGTGTCTTGGAAACGATAGGAAAATGCACATCGGTGACCGGATCGCCCATTGGCTCGCCCGTAGACGACTTCGTAGCAAGTCGGGACATATTTCGGTCAGTCTTCTTTGATCGCATCAACACTGTAGGAGTCCTCTTCAGGGACTTGATGGCGTACAAGGCTATGCCATTTTATATGGTGCACATAACCTAGTCACAATTATAACCTAGAGCTCCCTCTTCAGGGATGCTGGTTGAAAGTGATTATTTTTTTTCGAGCAAAGTAACGGAACGAACGGCTGATCTGTTTGTAACTGCTATAGTACTTCCGTCTATGATGAACTGTATTTCTACTGTCAAACTGTTTGTGATGGCTGCCTTATGACTGTAATGCGTGTGTATGCTAGTAGTTATGCTGAGACTGCAGTCTGTGTGAGTGTCAATTTTTCCACAAGAGACAGTGATGAACATTCTGTTTGTTTTCGTTTGCACAGGAGCGGAGCAACTATGGGGGTGACCAGTTTGCTATGAAGCTGAAACTAGGATACCAAGATTTTAAAATTCTAGCAAAGGCATCACAAGAAACCATAAAAGAAAATTAGTAACCACGGAAATGAGATGTCTGAGAAGGGCTGTAGGAGTAACCATAAGAGATAAGATCAGGAATGAGATCATAAGAGGAAAAGTTGGCACAGAACCAATTCTAAATTACATACGAAGACAGCAGGTGAAATGGTTTGCCCACTTAGAGAGAATGCCTTGTGACACCATACCATACAAAGCATACATGGAAAGAGAAGAAGGACGTAGAGCACGAGGTAGACCAAGAACAAGATGGAAGGATAACATCAGAGAAACTCTACAACAGCACGATGTGCCTATGGTCGAGGCGGCCAGAAGAGCTAGAGACAGAACCTTATATCTCCCTCGACACCCACAGCGGTAAAAGAGGAAGTGAAGAAGAAGTAAATGCATAGTCTACCAGTCACTTCCAGAAAATCTTTTCTTGTTATTTAAAGTGCCCAGTGTATTAGCAAAACCTGTCACAAAAGCCATATCTCCATCGCCCTCACTTTGTTTCCTGTTTGTTTCTTTCTGCATGCTCCAAAATTTACTGCCACTTTTAAAAATTACACAACACGTGATTTCAGGCGTTTTTGAATTGATTGCTAGTGCTACCTATAGCAGAGATGCCGCCACAAACATAGATTGAGGGGGGGGGGGTGTGGGGATATTTCGCCCCTAACTGCCTCTTAGATCTTTCTATAAAAAGGAAGTATAGGGGGTGGGCCCTCTGACCCCACACCAAATATATATATAAGGATGGTCGGGCTAGGACATCCCAATCTACCCCCTCCCCTCTCCCGAGGAAAAAAAATAGGGCGGGGCTGAAAGAGACCAGATAATAATATGTTGAATTGAGAATCTACATAATTGCACTCTGGACACCCCGATAAGCGCTCCGTCCCCATCTCCAGCAGCAAGCGAAGAGTTCCAATTACGATGGCACAAGTAACTGTCTGATTGTATATCCGTCTCATTTTTCGCCTGAGTGTTGAGCGTCGGACATATCCCCTGGTAACTCCTCGCACCGCCATTCTCCTCAGACAGTAATGATCTGTCTGCGCCTCCACACTGTTCACTCGTTCACAAAGGGTTCTCACAATATCTGGCTTGTCATATATCACTTCACCACCAAGTGGTGCAGAGCTGGCCAGTCTATCTGCCTGCTAATTTCCTAACATACCGCCATGACCTGGAGAAAATATTCAAGGTACGCTAACTACCCGGGACCTCTGAATTGATACTTACCACTCTGCACGGAGCATGACTGTCTCCTCCTTCCTCAACATCCTCTGCGAGTCAGTTACAATCACGGCACATGTGTACAGTTGAAACCCAACGGAAGGCAGCAGTGACTGCCTCCACCTCCATTCTTAAACTAGACGTTGTGATATAATATGCAAGGCTCTGCTGCACTAAGCGACGTCCATTCGCTTTTGTTATGAACTCCCAGGCACTTTCGTCTACCTCTCACCCCAGAGCCATCTGTAAAGATGATCACATCACTTGGGCGGGAATTGTCATGAATCATTTGTTGAACTTCAGATTCTGCAGCACCAGCTGGCCAATCCCTGCAATCACGACCTAAAGTGATTAGAACCTTACACAAGTCTGAAACTTGCTCAGACACCTTGACCCACTCCTCTCCTCGCCCAAATGTATCTAGCCTGCAAACATGTCCAATTGTGTCTCCCGCTTGCTTCATTCAAGACCTTCCTTTTTTCAGTCTGTGACCCTTAGCTCCGTTTATGTTTATTCAACGGATCAACGGACCCTTAGCTCTACCCAGGGCTTTATGCAAGAGGTGCTTCTTGTCTGCAGCTACTCTGAGATATGACTTTGCTTGCAACACTTGGAGCCCATCTACAATAGTCAAATAATAATAATACAAACAGAACTGGTGTCGACAGTCACCATACTGAAAGATTTACCGAGGAAATGACCCAAGCACGTTAAAGACTGAACAGCTCAATGTGTATTGAAAATGATCTGTTGACTCATTAGTCCCGCATCTTTGTCAACATATCGTCCCATGTGTAAACGGGCGCGGGGGATGGGGGGAAAGGGGGGGGGGGTGTATACTTTACATTATGAGGGTTTTTCCTTCCCATAACCTTTTCTGTTACCAATTTAAGGCTGGGTTGCCCTAGGGACCCGGGTTTTTTGCTGTTGTTGTTCTTATCTTCGGTAAGGCAGGTAGTTGTTGTATGAAAGTAATTTGTAGATATAAACATGTAATAACATTTAAATCAATACCTCTACAAGAGTTTGTGTCAGAAAAAAAAGCCTTTGCTTTAAATATTAGGTCTCTGTTAACATACAAGACAAATTTATAAGATACTTTGAAGAAATATCATCAGTAAGTTAATAAAGTCCTCGTTTGTTTGACAATAAAACTGAAGATTGAGGAAAAGACATTTTAAATTTCATTATCTTCATATATTTCCCTCATTCAAAACAAAGGGAACTTCTAGGTCACAGATCAGCCCAAGTTGTTATTATTTATAGATTAGGAGACAAACGCTGGTAATACTGCATTTTAATTATTTGAAACTAAAAAACTCACGTTAAACAACTATAATTTATATGTTTTAGTTATAAATTTGTATGCATTTTGTATTTTTTTTGCCACGTTAAGATTCAAAAGAAAAATTACGTGGATTGTGTAAGCTCAGACCCCCAGATGTTTGTAGTGTGAACTGCGCCGAGAATACCCTTCCGGGACGTGATGAGTTAGTGACGTCACAGAGCAAAATGGCGGTAGATTTAGGCGAACATCTCGGAGTTGTACAATAAAAGCAGATTTTTCTTCTCACCCGCCTGGAGAAAAATGTTCACATCATGTCGGAAATGAAAAGAGTTGAATTAACCACTGTGTCGTCGTCTCAAAAGCAGAAAAAAGTGAAATGGAAGCAAAGTACTTATCGCTTTATCCTGACCCTGGGAGAGTCGAACGCCGAAAACATGTCCGGAGTACTCGTTTGCAGATCTGGTGAAAAGTGACAAGGTAAGTGTTTGTAAATGTTTAATGGGTGCCGTTGGCGAGTCTGCGAGCCTCTGTCTGCCCTTCATGTGCCGAAAAACTTGTTAGTTGTTGAGTTTTTGTTGGGGTGTAATTAGACAGTTTGGCGGTGTAGCGGTCTGTGAGTGTGCAGACATCATCATCATGACGAGCCTGCAGCACCATGTGTCAGTCAGGGCCCTACAACCACCACAACTACCACCATGGCGCTGACAAGATGGCCAGGCCACCACCACGCCATCTTGAGCCCTCAACTCAACCCAGCACGACCACATGAACACATTCTTTCTGCATTTGCTTTGCCATTTACAGTAGTAGTTCACTGCCCTTTCCCCCCATCATAACTCTTTGTTATTGTCATCATCATCATGTGTTGCCTCAGCTGAAGAGTCATCAGATGCCTCACTTTAGGATCTTGTTCCAGGTTATGTTCCCTCTTCTTTCTCTGATATCCTCCTTCACTCTTCCATCTTGTCCCTCCCTCACAGACTACGCCTCAACCAAGAGCACGGGAACGAACCAGCAGCCTGCACCAACCACTGCAGATCCCCAGAATTCAACTCTCCTGCTGAAGCCAATAATTGTTATCTGAACTTGAAACCCTTCACCACAATATTTGAGGAAGGGGTTCGAATCCCTATGTACTTTTGGAGGGTTTCTTTTGAAAACTCTCCTCCTCTGTCAGTTACTATAGCAACAGTAATTAAGTGCACAGAAGCCACGGGGGTGATTATTCATTCCTTCTGTCTGTCATGATGGGACTGGTGTCCTCACTTGGTGTGCTAGTGGCCTCTCTTGGTGTGCTGGTGTCCTCTCTTGGTGTGCTGGTGTCCTCTCTCGGTGTGCTGGTGTCCTCTCTTGGTGTGCTGGTGACTGGGAGGGTCCAGGAGATGTGTTGTACTTGAGCTCCTACAGTGAGCACGCATGGGATGAAGACTTTGAATTCTAGATAAAAATGGGGGAACATGTAAATGGAACTTTAGACCCAAGGCTTGGATAGTAGTAGTAGTAGTAGTAGTAGTAGTAGTAGTAGTAGTAGTAGTAGTAGTAGTAGTAGTAGCAGTCATAGTAGTTTGAATAGATACTACTGGATTGAGGTAATGTATCTGATCTTTCTGAACTCGACAAACATGCTTCAGCTTAGCAAAGAGTGAACTTGGTACATCTATGACATTTTGTTGATATTATAAAGTTGATGATGAAATGAAATGTGAGCGAATCACTGAGACCGTGCTTTTCTTCCTCTGCCTCTTCCTCTAGTTTTGACTGTTGTCGTATTTGAGCTAGAGTGTTGCAGATTGAGGTATGTTCCCTGTTCATTCCGTTCATTGACTTATTATGGATTGACAAATCCACTTAAGGATTGCTATTTTGGGGTAATCCTGGTGGTTGGAAACTAGGTCGCGGGCTAATTTTAGATGCCCGTTAGAAGAGAGGCGGGCGCGGGTAGCGAGGACGGCAGTCAGCGAGAGGGTCCTGGGTTCGTTGCGCTCCCTGTCTGCAGGCGGTGGCAGGCGGGATGATCCTGCAGGTATTGATTAGCGGTGATTTATGTGTTTCTTGAAAAGGGAAGAGGAAAGGGGTGGGAGTGGGGGCCGGCATTTAGGGGGAGGTTGCGGTAGGAAGCCGAAGGCTGAGAATTTGCAGACGGCACAGCGGCCTCTGCTCGCTGGCCATTTTTGCCCTCGTCTCCGCGTCGGGACCTGGCGTTGTATAATAGACGTGTCTGGCTGGCGCATTGACCAGCTGGCGGGGCTACGGGAGTTTCTCTGCTGGGCTTAGCACAACTCGGCAGTCGCGGTGGCTAGACGCTCGCCTATCGGCTTGAAAGTCCTGCGCTCAAATGGGCTTCCTAACGGATTTCTCTCTCTCTCCTCACACACAAACTTTTGCTCCCAGGGTATCAGGACGTTTTCAGGGAGGTAAAGGCCGTGAGCGTGTTGTTGATCACTCCACGTACTGATGGCCGATTAGTCTGTACAAAATATGAGTTGAATATATTCCTGATGCGGCAATTGGGAGAAAAGTTCCTTTACTATTTACCAGAGCTTACTTAAGTTAACGTTGCCTTTAGACCAGCCGTGCCTGCTATGACTTTAACTAGACTGCTACTGGCTGCTTATGCTGCTGTTGCTGATACAACTACAAGAACAACATTTTACTTGTTTATTCTTTCATACCATCTCTTATTATTCTATCTACTTATTCTCTGATCACACCATGGCCAAACCACGTCCACGACACTTATCAAGTCTCGGGTAAACACTATAAATACTCGAAAAGTGTACGGATCGTTTTTACTCCCCGAATGTGTTTCCGGGCCCAGGTTTGGGGGGGGGGGGGAAGAACCCCCCCCCTTCCCCCCCTTATAGTAAGTAAGCATGTCGTAAAAGGCGATTATAATTTGAGGTTTAGCTGAAATTGGAATGGTGTTGGGAGAAAGGAGCAGATTTCGGAGAAAAAAAGAAGAGGAAGAATATATATTTTATTTGGGCAGTAACCGGAGAACAGCAGAGTGTATGCACATGCGGACAGGCACAAAACCTTTTAGTGACATACCTTAGCAGTGGTGTTTAGTTTGGTAATGTTTAGGTACAACTGACTGGCTTACTTTTCCACGTGTAGTAACCATTCTCTAACTTCTAAGTTGATGATATGATGGTAAAAGGGGGGGGGGGGGGGGGTGTCTGACTTAGTTTAATTAAATCAGTATCTGATATCCTCGTGTGGGTGTTGGGGTGGGAGCTGGGCATTGTTGGGGTGGAAGCTGGGCATTGTTGGGGTGGAAGCTGGGCATTGTTGGGGTGGGAGCTGGGCATTGTTGGGGTGGGAGCTGGGCATTCCTTCGCAGTATTTTATTTTTTTAATAAAAGAAAAAAGGGGGAGAGTGGTTTTCGTGATCACATGGCTCTTCTTGATAAAAACTTTAGTTGCAGAACCCTGTCATTCATGGATAAATCTACGGTTGAGACCCTCCTGTACAACATAAGGATCTTCTGTCTTTTTCTTCTGCTTTCAACCTCAAAGGGCAGTATGTAGGCATATATTATTGTGTTGTTACTTATTATCCTTATCAACATCCTAGCAGATTGGTCCGACTCATTCGTGCTCCAGCCCGGCAGCTATCTCAGTGTCTCCCTGCCCAACGTACCCAATAGGAGTTGATTGGCCAAACTGACCTTATGATGTGGTTGATATCTAGGCTGCCACACATTTAACGTCAACAAACACCTAATTAGTTGCCTTTCAGGACATGCTTGTTAGAGGGCAGTAGGCAGTAGAACTTGTATTTCTCCCCTAAAAGAAGACCTCGGAATGAACACAGGTTCTACATGGATTTAGAAAGAATTAATCATGTGAATTTTGGGTAATTCAAGCCAAATGGCCTACATGTTGACTGTCATAGTTATTCTGAAACTAAATGCTATGCTTCTAATTTGACAGCCATTGAATGGAACCCCATTTGATGAGCCAGACGAGGACAAAGAGGTGGCAGCTATTGCCCAAAGATTTGAAGCCAAATATGTAAGTAACCACATTTGTTATTTTATTAATACTGTCTCTTTTGCCTTATTGGATTTATTTGTATTTTTTTAGTAGTGATCTAACCATGTCTGGTAGTTTATCTGTCTGTCTGTCTGTCTGTCTGTCTGTCTGTCTGTCTGTCTGTCTGTCTGTCTGCTGCAATGGATCTGTATAAAGGATCACAAAGACAATTTGTTTTTCTCATTCTTTAGAATTGTAGACTTTCAGAAGCACGGCTGTTCAGCTCAGTTTACTCAGAGGGCAACATTTTGAAATTAGGGGTCAGAAGCACGAGCCATACATAGAAAGCTAATTAATACAATACAATAGACAATTTCTGGTTTTTCTTGCACTTCTGTACTTTAGTTTTCTTTCAGAGCTTGGATGTTGTGTGCACACCCCTTTTACAGATGAGGCTTATATTTGTATGCAGACTGTTGTTTCCTCGTCACTCAGGCAGATTGTTTCCTCGTCACTCAGGCAGATGCGCTCCTACTTCATAGGCAAAACCCCTACTTAGTCGCCTTTTATGGCATGTTTTTTTTTCAATAGTAATGGGTCAGCTCTTATGTCTGTCTGCTTTAATGGGGCACGGAACAGATGAGAAGAATCCTTGGGTAACATTTCTGGGATTATTAGAAGTGAATAGCCTAACAAACTGCTGTTAGAGACGTCTGGCGAACTCTCTGGCAAACCTCTACACCCCAAGGTAGAAGAGGAGCGACTAAGTAAGTAAGTAAGAATGGCCTAACAGAGTAAAGATTTGAGATATTTTATCAGTAGCCAATGAGGGTGAAGATTTAAATTCCTGTTTTTTAAGGGACATTCGGAATGAATGTGTCTATTTTCTGATCTACCCAGGGACCAAAGGGCCTCATCTCTGGCAAGAGGAAGAGAACACAAGAGATGGACGACTACTACGATCCAGGAGAGGGTTATGATGAAGACGACCCGTTTATTGACAACACAGAAGCTGTAAGTAGAAAGTTTGTCTGAGAGTTTCACTGTCTACCCAGCACTTCAGGCAGTCCTGTCTATAACATTTTCGGGGCTACAAACACTATGGTCTGAACTAGACAGCCAGCATGAGGTCCTTTTACAGTGAAAATGGTTTCACGAAGAGTGTTCAGAAGGGAGCTGCCACAGCGAAGAGGCTAGATACTCACCTGCAGGTCCTAAAGTTGTGGGTTCAAATTCAAATGGTGTCAGATTTCCGCCCCCCCCCCTTCCCCTCCCTCCAAATTACCCTGGCTTCCATGTTAATCCAGCCTTAAATGGGTTCCATGTTAAATCCTCGGAAGAAAAGATGAATGTCTAGATGGTAACCACATCACATGAGTACAGATTGGTCAATAAAAAATAGTCCTTTATGAAGAGAGTCTGTAACAAGAGTGCAGAGAAATGAAAGAGCTGATCAGTTGGATAAAGGGAGTTCAACATTTGAGCGACCAAATGTACCAGTCTTACTGATAATCAAAAGAAAAGATTGATCAAATCAGTTGGAGGGTCTCCAACATCCAGCAGCACAAGGATTAATTACTTACAAAGAGACGGATAGGAACACTAATTATTTAAAGACCATCTTGCTGCCTGTTTACTGATTTTTAGACAGGTGTAGATGAGGGGTTATTTGTTTTTGCTCCTTAAAAAATATCCTTCAGCATATCAGAGATTTTGAATCTTTTGTCCTCCCAGCTGAGAGCCTTGTGTTCTAACTTCTTCTTCTCCTCATCCTCCTCCTACTTCTGTTTCTACTTTTTTTGCCCCCCCCCACCCCCCCCCCCCCCACCACCCCCCATTTTCTAGGCAAATAATTTAGAATGCGGTGTCCTTGTTCCTTCCTTCAAAAGAACAGCTGGACACTAAAAGTTTTCCTATGGTGTGGCAGGAGAGCAGATGTATGTTTGAATACTTGTATTTCCCCTGTAGTTGACATGTGATGGTTGTTGTTTTCTGCAGTCATGGACGAGGTGTAAAATTTGTTCCGTCGCATCCTGACCACACAGCACGGCGTTTCTACATCAACCAGGGCAAACTGGATTTCAAGTACTTGGATGAGGATTCCTCGGATGCCTTCGCTAATGTGCAGGAAGTGAAGAAACCCAAGAAGAAGGTCAGTCGGCAGAAAAGAAACCTGTTAAAGGATGTGCAAATTCAGTAAATGATACAGCATTTCTGCTCTCCCTGTTTTGGTTTCCCATTTTGAGTTTAAAAAAAAAGTAACAGTTGAAATAAAAAAAAAAAAATTTAAATTAAGATTGAGAGAAATGTTGTTATAAAGTTTGGCATAATGGCGTGGAGACACGTCTGCATTAGAAATAGTTGGCATTACACAAGACAGAAAACTGCTGGCAGATGTGATGCTTAACCCTTTCGCTGCTATGGACGTCTTTTCCCGTTTTCCCGTACGAGCCTTTGGACTTTATTTTTTTTCTTGACTCCCAGTGCTATGGACGTACCAACCCATTTTTGGACTTTCCTTACAGATTTCTGTGACCTCTTGTCTCAGGGGCCAAAGGGCAATATACATTAGCTATATTTAGATTCAACTGACCCATTTACATACGATTAAAAGCACTGGCACATGCATTTAGGCGTGTTTAAGGTGTGTTCACTGCATTCCGCGTTATCCCGTCGCTTTGTTTACCCTGACAGCGTGGTTGGTGATCTGTGTATATTGTGCCCTGATATATATTTGTGGCTTTGGATTATTCTACACTTCGTTAGTACTAAATGGCAAGAACACTTGTTAAAGTTGATAAGGAATTGATGGAGTTTCTGTCAAGAAGTAATAGTGAAGATGACTTTGAAATGTGTACTTCTGACAGTGAACAAGAAGATTTGACTAGGCCATCAATATCGACCGCTCAAACCGACGTGTCCAAGAAAAAGATGTTGCCTCTCCGACGTCCTCATCGGAATTAGAGAGCAGCGACAATGAAGTGCCATCAAAACGGCAAAAAATTGATCAGTTGTCTTGGTCAACCGATGATTTGATACCAGTAATGCATAATTTTGATGACTCCAGCTCTGGCTGTATTTCTGCTACTGTAAATTCAAACAGTTCAGTGCTTGATTTAAAATAAAAAAATTTACGGAATCACTGGTGACTTTCATCGCAGCAGAAACTTAACAGGTTCTGCAAAGAAGTAATTGAGAAGCCACCTGTCACTACAAGTTCTCGTCTTTCCCCGATGGACAGAAACAGATTCCACCAAACTTTTTTTTTCTGTCTGTCTGCTAATGCTTAGAACAAAGAAACTCAAAATAAATGAGTACTGGAGCAAAGACTGTTTGCTAAAAACTCCCCTAAAATAATGTCGAGGGACAGATGTTTACTAGTGTTGAGAATGTTACGTTTCTCAGACAAAAGTGCTCATGCAGGCCGGCCATAGACTGTACATAAAATTAAGACACGTTATTGATAGTCCTGCGCACATCATTCATCATTATCATTCACACAGTACATTGCGTCAAGCAATAATCTAGTGTAGTTGGTATCACGTCCGCCTTAGAATCGGAAGGTCGTGTGTTTAACCTCCAACTTTTTAAAAATTTTTTATTATTGTAAATTTTCCTTTCAGTTCTTGCTACTTTTCAGCAACAGATGACTCAAGTATTATTATAATTTTTTTTTGCTTTGTTTTTTTTTGGGGTGTGTAAAAACATGGTGACTAAAAATAACTATGATTAAAGTGAGAGCCGTGGTAGGTTTGTCTATCAAATTTTGGGATAGGGACTGGGAACAGTTCTTCCCATTAATTCCCCCCCCCCCCCCCCCCCCTCCACCACCCACCCCCAGGGGTGGTGGTCTTCATTGGTTTCAAGTTTTATGGGCACCATAGTGTCTCTGGATTGTCACCCCACTCGGCCAACCACACAACTCCCTAGGGGGAAACATTTGTAGGGGTACAAAATATAGCCCTCACCGCCGACGCATCTTTTGTGTTTGGAGGATAGAAAAGTATTGCGCACAGCAGAGACTTTTTTTCCCCACATTGCTTAGCACAGGGCAGACAGCTACGGCTGGGAACGTAGCAGCAAAAGGGTTAATGCCATTCAGCATAGACCATAAACAAGAATGATATTTATAATCCGATTACAATGAAATTAAAGCTTTGCTTGCTGGCCAGTGGCAAAAATCTGGCATCCCATCACAGTTGCTTGGAAATGATAGCTGGAGATACCACATTTCCGTTTATTTAGGATCTTGTAACTTTCTGCTTTTTTCCCCCGGACAGTTCACTATGAAGAAAATATGATATTTAAACAATTATGTAAATTAGTTATTAGAGGAGTCACAACAACAGAAATGAAATGTTTCTGACGAAACCTAACTGTAGCTAGAAGAGACAGGGTCTGAAGGATATCAGGAAAGAAGCTGGGTCAGAACCATAACTAAACTACATCAAGAGACAACATGTTAAATGGTTTGGACATGTGTCAAACTACCACCAGATAGTTCACCATAGAGAGAGCCCTGTTACTAAGACATAACTGAAGCAGACTAGAGGTTGACCACGCAAGCGACTGATAGATATCTGAGGTTGTAAATAGCAACAGCATATACCAAACATGCACCCAATGTCTCTTCTAAGTCTGATTCTTAAAGGCAGAACAGAACTATAGACAAAAGTTATTAAAATTTTTTTTAGACACTTGATGTCGAGGATATCAATTATCTTCTTGTAAGTACTAATATTTTGTGTGTCTTTGTAGTAATAATAAACTAAGTACGTTTTTGCAGCGAGTATTGGATTCTGACAGTGAGGAAGAAACGGGAGCTGCCATTGCAAAGAAGTTCAAGGCCATGAAAGCTATGAAGGTAAGACCACTTTTGGTTGTAGTAAAAGAAATAAGCCATGTTTGTTGATGTATTCTGACACTGACATATTGTGTTAGAAGCCTTACATCATCAACTGTAATGATTATGGCATTTCCCTAGCTCTGTACTTATCAACAAATCCATGGTTTTAAAAGTATATTGTTTATTTTATTACTTGTTATAATTTTGTTTAAAATGTCTTTCAGAGGAAAAAGCAGTTAGAAAGTAAAAGTGGCGAGAAACAAAGAAAGAAACACTCCGGACTTGAGGACGGAGACAAGATTTTCAAGAAGAAAAAACTGAAGAACTTGGACAAGTTAAAACTGTAAGTTGAAGTATATTCATTATTTTTACGCCCATAGTTTTCTGTAATTTTTCTGTGGTAACAGGTTGCCTTAAAGTCGATTGTAACTATGCTGTTATTTCAGAAGTTATCTTGATACACAGAAGTAGGGTGGCTCACAAATGGTCCAATATTATAGCTCTGTGGCACTCGGCAGATAGTCGGATCTCTCGTCTGCATGGCAATAGGTAAAACAGTTATATTATAACGCTCCATGGCAATCGGTAAAACAGTTATATTATAACGCTCCATGGCAATAGGTAAAACAGTTATATTATAACGCTCCATGGCAATAGGTAAAACAGTTATATTATAACGCTCCATGGCAATAGGTAAAACAGTTATATTATAACGCTGCATGGCAATAGGTAAAACAGTTATATTATAACGCTCCATGGCAATAGGTAATACAGTTATATTATAACGCTCCATGGCAATAGGTAAAACAGTTATATTATAACGCTCCATGGCAATAGGTAATACAGTTATATTATAACGCTCCATGGCAATAGGTAAAACAGTTATATATTATAACGCTGCATGGCAATAGGTAAAAAACAGTGTATATTATAACGCTGCATGGCAATAGGTAAAACAGTTATATTATAACGCTCCATGGCAATAGGTAAAACAGTTTATATTATAACGCCTGCATGGCAATAGGGTAAAACAGTTATATATAACGCTCCATGGCATATAGGTAAAACAGTTATATTTATAACGCTCCATGGCAATAGGTTAAACAGTTATATTATAACGCTCCATGGCAATAGGTATTAAAACAGTTATATTATAACGCTCCATGGCAATAGGTAATACAGTTATATTATAAACGCTCCATGGCAATAGGTAAAACAGTTATATTATAACGCTCCATGGCAATAGGTAAAACAGTTATATTATAACGCTCCATGGCAATGGGTAAAACAGTTATATTATAACGCTCCATGGCAATAGGTAAAACAGTTATATTATAACGCTCCATGGCAATAGATGATCACACTGTAGAGCTCTCTGGCAGTAGACAAAATCTTAAAAGTTTTTTTGGTAGGAAATACGTTCCTTAGTGATAGATAGGTAATCTAAACATAGAGTTCCTTAGTAATCGAAAGGTAATCTAAACATAGAGCTGTTTGGTAATAGATCATTTAAACATAGAGCTTCTTGGTAGTAGATCATTTAAACATAGAGCTGTTTGGTAGTAGATCATTTAAACATAGAGCTGCTTGATCGTAGATCATTTAAACATAGAGATAGATAGTCTAAACACAGCTTTTTAGTGGAAGATGGAACAGTGCTTTGGGCAGTATACTAGTCTTATCTGAGGAAGAGGAAATTAAGTTTGAAAACTCCCATGTGATGGCAGGCCAGACTGGAACCTCAGCCTTAGCTGGCAGCTGGTCTAGGAGGGAAGCTCCAACAGCTGTACAGTCATCACTACTTTTCTGATTAGGCAGCTTTTGCAGCGTTCTTTTGTTCCAAACATATTGGTGTTACCTTTCCTTGGGAGTAAACAAAGCAGACCTAGGAAGGGATCCTGAAGCATGGGAAACGCATAATCTCAGCAGTACTTCCCAGGCTCTGTGCTGTGGAGAGAAGGAATTCATTCTGGCCTTAATTGACCAGGGAAACACATTGAGGAAGCAGTTACCTGTTACAAATAAGCCAGATCTGCAAAACGGATATGCACTTGAAAGTCAAGTTCTGAAAGTGGAGAACAGCAGAACTTTCCACCCGAGTTTCGAGTTGATGAATGCAGAGAAGACTGCATATGAGACTTTTTGTAGTAGAACATCTGGGAGGAAGGCGAGAGGAAGACCAAGAAAGATGTGGATAAATGGTGTAGCTGAAACCTGCAGCAAGATGAACAAATCCATCACTCAAGCCACCTGAGGAGTGCAAGACACATACAGAACACCACGACACTGGGCTACAACCTGCTATCAGTGAGATGACAAAAGAAGAAGGCAGAGAAAAAAGACGAAGTTAAATCAGTGTCTCAGAAGATAAGAATTTTATTTTGGTTTGTGGGACTTATTTTTTAAAAATAATTTTAAAAAAAGAAAATACCAGGAAATATGTTACATTTATTTCTAACTTTGCCTTCACAGACAGAAGTCAACACCTGATTCTGTAGCTCAGCAAGAAGCAGTCACTCCGCCAGTTCCATCTCCTAACGTGACCACACCTTCACCTTCTGTGATGGTTTCCTCTCCGTTTGCCCCCACCAACAAAAGCATTGTACCACCACTGGCGAATCATATCATAGACGGAGTTCAAGGGATGCCAGACACAGTACAGGTTAGTTTTCATTTGCTGGTTATGTTTGTTAATGTGTTTGCCTTTAGCGGCTGTAAACCTCGGTGGGAAAGTCTTGGTTGTTCGTCCATTTCCATACCCTGGCTGTGTTCAAGGACCTGATTTTTGTGTATGTACCTGTTTTTTCAAATCTGGCATAGTGGCGCGGTGATTTATGTCACAGGCGTGAGGGGAAGTTAAGTCCAACATGATGTGTATAAGGAGATACTCCGTACGTCACTCGGGCGCCAGTCCTTTACTATCCTGGTTGTACGGAACCTCACGCAAGACCCCTACAGCACGTCCTCGTTGTGCGCCACGGATAATGTCTCAAATGAGCATTAACAGAGCTGTCAGGGGATCTCGGAGTTTGGCGGCCCCCAGAGGTGATGTCCTTGTGGCTCTCATCAGCCCGCCCCCAAACGCTTGGGTGAAAAATGTTATCAAAACTCATTAGGAACATGAGTAGGTTCGACAAAAGTACAGCTAAAATCACAACCCTTGGTTAAAAGACTGCTAAGTAAAGAGAACATTGCTCAATGCTCATCCTCGGTTAATTCTCAGTGTCGTCGTCACCGCGCTAAGGTGCACCACAACAGAAACCATACATGGGCTGGCCATCCTTGTGCATCCTCGGTTGGCCCTCAGTGTCCGTCGTCACCGCGCTGAGGTGCACCACAACAGCAACCCATCCATAGGCTGGCCAGTCACGTACATCCTCGGTTTAACCCTCAGTGTCGTCGTCACCGCGCTGTGGTACACCACAACAGCAACCATCCATCGGATGGCTAAGCCTAAATGTCCGACAAAACTAGATCATACGAATCAAAATCTGACCATCAAAAATTTGCACTGAAATGCAAAGGCCGAATGTCCACACCCAAAGACCCCACTCGCCCGAGTGTTGGGACAAAACCGATAACGATATGCCTGATTCAGGATGTGAAATTCTGCCGGGCAAATGTACCTATCTGTTGTGGTCACAAAAGTCCAAAAACCAACGGGCTGCTCCCCGCTGACTTCCAGAGGGCGCAGCCCCTGTCGAGCGGGAGGCCTGATACGGTTGTGAGGTTAAGCAGGCATGTGCAGGACGTGACGATTCCTTGGGTGAGCCCAGAACCAGAGCGCCATGTGCCGGCTCTGCATGCATGGAAGCCTCCTTGGATGGCAGGGAATGCCCATGATCTGCCCCTGCCTTCCCTTGAGGGCCAACTGTTCCACAGGGGGTTGCCCCAAAGGGGTACTCCGGGGGCAATACCTGCGGCGAAGGAGACAAGGCGGGACACCACACAAATCAGGCAGTCTCGACCCACACAAAACAATGGCCACAGTCAACCTAGAAATAGGCCTGACGTCTTCCTTCGAAGTCGGCGTACAGCTGCCCAAGAGGCAGGGAAATAAAAAACGGTTGTACACGCAAAAATCAGGTCCAGGTGAAGGCCAAAAGTCCAAGCGGACGATTAACCGGGACCTTCCACTGGAATTCACAGCCGGTGTTCGATGAAAAAAAAAAAAAAAAAATCTGGCATAATTGTATGCTGAATGTTTGTTTCTTGCTTCTTCAGCAGATGAGCTCCCACTTCAAACAAAAATTTGCAGCATTATTCGACATCTTGGACATTTACACTGCTTTCCACTGGGGGGGGGGGGGGGGGGGGGGGGTTGTCATAATTTTGACCTAGTTGTGTATTATATACCTTTTTCCTCCAACATAATTAAATCCCCTCATGGATGCTTTAAAAATTCAATAAAACTACTCCCCCCACCCCCCACTATAACAGTATGTTACACCAGGGTTGTACTTGGTGTAGTGGTTACAGGTGGAGGACCCTTTTCCACACCTTCGGTGGTGTCCGCCTCGAGTGCTAGAGGTTCAGGGTTCAATCTGGGATTTTTTCACGTGGACTTGGACTTCTAGTTATTCCCCATGGTCTCTGGGTAGTGAGATCGGACGCCCATGTGCATTGTTAGGCACTTAAAAATCCCTGGGCAGTTGGAAATTGAAATGAGTAGCCTAACGGCGCTGCCCGAGCAAAATTTGGACTTGAAAAATCTTCATAAAGAATTTCGGGATCCTCGCCGGTGCTACAGAGCCTGTGCACTGTGCTGAGCTCTTCGGACTCATTAGACTTGAGTTGGAAGAAGAACGGAGCACTTATGGGTTACTACCTGTGTGCCATGATTTCGATCAGTTGTTCAAACTTCAAACCTGGGCATATAGTGCTAGAACTTTCATTTATAGTAAACATCACGCCGACTGCCTTTACTTCCCAGGATCTTAGCTGGTATCCATTTAAGGCTCGGTCAACTTGGGAGCCAAGGTGATTTGTCAAGAAGTCAGGCTTTGTTCATATTCCAACCTAAGACTTTTGGATTCAGTGGCGAGCATCTGGCTGCTGCATCATGGCGGCTGCAAGTGATTACAGATGTCCTAATTATAACCTCTTAAGAGATTAAATAGGGTATTTTGAATTTGCCCTGTTGGACTGCCATCCAGGATGCTGCTTTTTGGGTCAGGGGTGTCAGGTACTCGGGCGGCAGCCCGGATGGGGAGAACAGTCAGTTGTCAAATGAAATGATTGCTCAGTGCAAGCTGTAATTTATATAAGGTATTTATGTGTGTGTGTACACATGCCTAGACATACACTAACTTAAATATCTACATACCTGTCTCTCAACTTATACACCTACAAATCTTCTTTTATGCACCACTACCTCTTTTTGTGATTCCTTGTCTTACTACTTGTATATACTAATAGCCGGATTTTCTTTTCTTTTAAAGAATGGTTTTGGCTTTCAAATAAGTTTGTGTAAGTAAAGATGACTACATCACCCACTGAGTCCCTATTGGTCTAAACCATATAAGTTTAGCCCTATATGCCTTATACGCCTGAAGGTAAGAAAAAAGGTCCTTTTCTCTA